CCAGGGATCCAGGGGCAGCCCCAGCTGCTCTGGGCACCCTGTGCCAGGGCCTGCCCACCCTGATCATGACAAACTTGTGAGCTCAGCTCTGTTGCACAGCAGTGACATTTCAGGTGTTGGGGCAGCTCTTCCAAGCAGGCCTTGGGTTTCCTGTCCCTCATTAGAGGCTCTTTGTGTTAGCACTGACTTGTGTCAATCTTTCTTTCCTGAGGCATTTGTGGAGCTGCTGCTTTCCCCAGCAGAGATCAGAGCTGGGAGGAACAACACGAGTTGGGATGTCAGCCCCAGCAGAGACAAGGAAAATGACAGCAAGGCTCTCTGTTCCTGCCCTTGGGCAGCTTCAGCTGCTGTGGAGACAAATGTGGACTTTATTCTTCACACTGCAGCCTCAGCCTCTCACTGTCCTGTCAATGTGCAAGTGTCAGTGGCTGAATTGAAAAACAACATCCTGTTGGGGCACTTACTGGTTCTTGTTCCAGTGGTCTCCTGTGGGCACAAAAAGACACTTTTCAGGCATTACCTTTAAAATATGATTGGGTTTCCAGGTACTTTGTTGCATCTGTTTGCTATAAGAATTTAGGGAGACCTTAAGTTACCTTTTTTTGGATTATCAAAAATGACCAAGTATCTGTAAATGTTAACCATGATGACAAATTATGTTTTAATACTAATATGTAGAGCCCAGAGTCCATTTCCAACACCCAAAAGGGGGCTATGAACCATCAATTTCTTAATTACTGGCCACTTCACTGTCATCTGTGTATCTTTTATTATTTATTATATTCTGGTTCTCTGCCCCAAGGTCTAATAGTTATAAATAGAATTATAATGGTGGCTTCTCCAGGAAAAAGCTCCTGTTTTTTGCACATCAAGAAGTATTTTGGCTTATTCAACTGGGATGGCATCTATTCCTATATCCAGTGGTTCTGCTATTTTTCCTCTCATTTTTATCAGCTTTTTTGGGGTGATTTTATATTTATCCTCCTCCAAACAGCTGCTAGAAGTGAGGCAGATTTCAACATCCCTGCCTGGCCTTGGTTTCTTGTTGTCAGAAGAAATGCCAAAACATTCACCTCCTGCAATCCCTGTGTGCTGATGGACGGGCTGCAGTTCCATGTCTGATGGGAATGAGATTTGTGCATGGGGATGAGATTTGTGCAGCCCGTGCTCTGTGCCAGGCATTCCCAGTTATCCCACTGGCAGAGCTGTGGGCAGCTCTGGGGCTCCTCTCTGCCCCTCCATCACTTCATTCTCTGCAGGCTCAGAGGAGCTCCCAATCTCTGTCCTTTGATTTGGGGTTTTCCTCCTTGAGCTTCATTTTTTAGGTGCAATAATCACAGTGATGGACTGTCCTGAGTGGGGAGGGTCCCTAAAGGATCACCCAGTCCCACCCTGGCCCTGCACAGACCCCCCAACACTCCCACCCTGTGCCTGAGCACTGCTCAAGCTCTCCTGGAGCTGTGGCAGCCTCGGGGCTGTGCCCATTGCCTGGGCATCCCTGGGCAGTGCCAGCACCCTCTGGGGATGAACCTTTCCCAAAATCCAGCCTGACCCTGCCCTGCCCCAGCCATTCCCTGTCCCAGAGATCAGAGCTGCCCCTGGGGAGGAGCTGCAGCCCCCCCTGAGCTCTGCCCTCAGTCTCCTCCTCCAGCTGAACAATCCAAGTGCCCTCA